AGAGAGAGGGAGGAGGGAGAGAGAGAGAGGGAGGGAGGGAGAGAGGAGAGGGAGGGAGGGAGAGAGAGAGAAGAGGGAGGGAGAGAGGAGGGAGGGAGAGAGAGAGAGAGAGGAGGAGGAGGGAGGGAAGAGAGAGAGAGAGAGAGAGAGAGAGGAGGGAGGAGGGAGGGGAGGAGGAGGGAGGAGGGAGGGAGGGAGGAGAGAGAGAGAGAGAGAGAGAGAGAGAGAGAAGAGAGATGAGAGAGAGAGAGAAGAAGGAGAGGAGAGAGAGAGAGGAGAGATGAGAGGAGAGGAGAGAAGAGACGAGAAGGGGGAGAGAGAGAGAAGGGGGGAGAGAGAGAGAAGGGGGAGAGAGAGAGAAGGGGGGAGAGAGAGAGAAGGGGGGAGAGAGAGAGAAGGGAGAGACGAGAGAGAGAAGGGGGGGGAGAGAGAGAAGGGGGAGAGAAGAGAGAAGGGGGAGAGAGAGAGAAGGGGGAGAGAGGAGAAGGGGGGAGAGAGAGAGAAGGGGGGAGAGAGAGAGAAGGGGAGAGAGAGAGAGAGAGAGAGAGAGAAGAGAGAGAGAGAGAGAGAGAGGAGAGAGAGAGAGAGAGGGAGAGAGAGAGAGAGAGAGAGAGGGGAGGGAGAGAGAGAGAGAGAGAGAGGGAGGAGGAGAGAGAAAGAGAGAAGGGGGGAGGGAGGGAGAGAGAGAGAAGAAGGGGGGAGGGAGGGGGGAGAGAGAGAGAGAAGGGGGGAGGAGGGCAGGGGGAGAGAGAGAGAGAAGGGGGAGGGGAGGGGGGAGAGAGAGAGAGAAGGGGGGAGAGAGAGAGAAGGGGGAGGGAGGGAGGGGAGAGAGAGAGAAGGGGGGAGGGAGGGAGGGGGGGAGAGAGAGAGAGAAGGGGGGAGGGAGGGAGGGGGGAAGAGAGAGAGAAGGGGGAGGGAGGAGGGGGGGAGAGAGAGAGAGAAGGGGAGGAGGGAGGGGGGGAGAGAGAGAGAGAAGGGGGAGGGAGGGAGGGGGGGAGAGAGAGAGAGGGAGGAGAGGAGGGGGAGAAGAGAGAGAGAGAGAGAGAGAGAGAGAGAGAGAGAGAGAGAGAAGAGAGAGAGAGAGAGAGAGAGAGAGAGAGAGAGAGAGAGAGAGAGAGAGAGAGAGGAGGAGAGAGAGAGAGAGATGGAGAGAAAGAGAGAAATGGGATTAATTTTTTTTCAGATTCAGGAGGGTCATCTCAATTTTTCAAGGATAGAAATTATACACAAAAATGATTCTTAGAAATAATCCTCTCATATATTTGCATTAATTTACAATAAATGTTACTCTTCACTTGTGCCTCCTCCTGCACTTTCCTTTATCTTAGACAGCATGAATTCTTATTCTATAACACAATATACACATAATCTGATTTTGGAAATTGCAATGTCATCATTTTGATAAAAATTTTCGGAAGGAATAAGGAATCATCAGATTCCCAGTCCCTACTTCTCAATGTCTTAATCAAGCAAAATACTGTTTTAATCATTTCTCCTGCTTCAACAGATGCAAAGCCCAATTCTTAGGCCTTGTTATGGGAGGAGGATGGCGATGGCATGGCTCAAGCTCTTTCATTCTCTGTGCTGCAAATGGAATGTGCCTTGGGTCATTTCTCTCAAACAAGTTGACTGCCCCATTAGTTGTAAAGTGGGGTCCGAACAGTGGTTCATCTTCATCAGCCTGCACATCCGGAGGCCAAATTTTTTTCTTGTTTTTATCAATCAGATCCAGTAAAGCTGAGAAATTTGTTTGCAACTCTGCGGCCTTGAGATCCATGCCAAATGTAACGAGGATTGTGGCCAGAGCAGTTACTGAGGTTGCCATTTGGTCTACTGTAGTTATGGTCTCATATAAGGCAACAACTAACCCAAGGTCTTCATATGCACTACCCTCTTTGGTGCTATATTTCTTGCGCTCCAGTTTCTTTCTGTTCTTACTAGATCGAAAGGTTTTCCCTGACATGGACGAACCACTACGGGATCCAATGGTGTGGCTTTGGGTGTATGAGATGCCTGTTACTGTGCTTGTATCTGAGTATAGGTCACTATCAAGGTTTGCTTCTCCCTTTCCTTCCAAAATATCAAGATGTTGTTTTTCTTTCACTTCTCTTGCAGTCTCAAGACGAGAGCAATAATGAGTGAAGGTGTCCCTTAGTCTATCAAGTTCATGCAAACAAGTTTCACCCTGTTCTATACATCCAGGTTTGATATTAGTGTCAACAAGATCTGGCCGCCCATATCTGTAGGCTACTCTTAGTGCATCTTCCCACTGACTTGCCTTTACCAGGAGATCTACAGCTTCCTCCTCATTTTTCATATAATCCTCATAAATCCAAGCAGCATCTGCATATAGTCTTTTATCTATCAGGTTCTCAACTAATGCGTAACATAAATCAGTCATTTCTTCCTTGTTAAGTTTCAATTTAGCTCCCACAACCAATACCATCTTCCAGTTTCCTGCCATCTTATAAGCATTCATGGCATCTTCCATCCTTTGTGCACGCATATACATCATACCTGCTTCATTGTAATGCTGTCTTGACATCAGGTAACTAGCATAACTTTCACATACTGCATAGTGCATATCATGGTTATTTGCAAATATCTGCAAAGCATCTCTATACAGATTTTCTGACACAATGAGATTCATACATTCTTCCATATGATCTCTGCCATGACTTATACACTCAAGAGCTTTTCTGAACCTTCGGAGATGCACATTTATCTTGAACTTCATATAATCTTCTTCCAATTTCTTAAGTTCATTTAAAAATGGCAGATATTCCTTGG